TTTTGAGATATTGCCAGATTTGGAGGAGTATCATCTCATAGACTACGATTTTCGATATTTTTTAGATTTAATCTTTTCGATTGTAATGCTTGAAAATTCAGTATTTAGAAAACGTAAAAAGTACATGCATGATGTATAAAGAATTAAAGGATATTGGTGGAAATTCATTAAATATCATTTGTTAAATTGATACCCTACAAGTTTTATTCTGCATAAAAGTCCGCAGTCTAGTGATAAACATTTCAGGATAATGAAATAAATACGTTTAATTAGGTATACTCCAAAATATATGTATTCGGAGAAAATTTATCCTAATTATTTATCTGGTACCGGGTATGTAATGAGTTTAGACGTGGCAATCAAATTATATCACGCAGCGTTAACAACGCCGTTGCTACATTTAGAGGACGTTTATGTCACCGGTATTTGCGCGAAACACGTGAAGATAAGGCCTGTAAATCATCCTGGTTTCAGTTACGTTCCACGTAAGCTGGAACCTTGCACTTTAAGAAATGCTATTACAGCACACAGAGTTAATACATCCACTATGCATGCCATATGGAGAAAATTGAATGATGACGCCAATCTTTCTTGCAGTCATTATTCCGATAAGAAATCAGTTACATTAAGCAAGGGTGGTAGAAATATTGGTATAACAAAAAGAAGATCCAACAACAAATGCGTTTAAATTAATAACTCGCTAAAGTTATTTACTAATTTAAAATTATAAAAAAGGAAAAAATTATAAAAGATAGGTCAGTGAGTATTCATTCTCTCATAATAATTATTACAAAACACAGTCATACATTTTACAGTCAGACTATTTTTCCATTCAAGTAGCAATAGCTTGTAATGAAAGTGTTAAGTAGATTTTATGTGTCAGTTGCCTTCTGTGTTATTTATTGTTACAAAGTAATTGTCTTCATTGGATAACAAATATCTCTTAGATGCAAATCTTATTTCAAGCGTCAGTTATAATAAAAGTGATGTGAATGAAAAATAATTAACGAAAATTGGAATTTTTATTTGCATTGCCAATTCATTTATAAAAACGAAAATTTCAACTTCCCTTAATTATTTATTAATCACACCACTTTATAATAATGGACGCAACTGCGTTTTCTTAATCCATTGTTTTACTTTTCATGAAAATTTGATTGAACTATTATATATATAAATAGAGAAAAATGTTCCCGTAACATGAATAATTGATTTTTTTTACAATTCTAATAGAATTGTTATAAGAATATGGATATACATATAGTATATATATTTTGCTATTTATATAAATTGTCAGTAGTTTTTAATACATAGTTGATTCGTTAAAAAAAGTTTATTTTTCATACCAGGACTGTAGATAAATGATGATAAATTGCAGATTAAAATGTTTAATTAAAGACTACTTCAATTGTCCACTGAGATTTAGAAAAATATAATCGTTATTTGCAAATTTACTTTACTCCAAGTCAGATATTTGAAAGAAAATATGTCAAATCCATAGGAACAAAAAGTACTTATTATAATCGAAATCCGGCATAAATGATGAAGTTTCTAATTAAAAACAAAATTAATTAGTATTAGTATAAATCTTAACGACTCTGACTTAAGGCCTTGGCAAGATCAATATGTTAACTGTCCCTATTTAAATCCAGTTATTTTTGTTTAAGACATTTTTCTTGATAATATTCGGATTCACTAATATTCAATGTGGACAAACTTATTGACATACTCTGTATAATTTTTAAATTAATTAATATTTCTTACATATTTATTGCCTATTGCATTGTAATTATCGACAATACCTATATAAAAAAGTGTAATACAATAAAATTAGTTCAGGCTATTAAGAATTCATCCATCCTTTTCATCTCATGGAAAATGTGTACCATATGATTGACGTCGTAACTACATACTTCAGCATCGATGATATATATATAAGAATTGAATTTAGCTTACTATATGCTAAAGCAGCATAAGCATTTTTTTTAAATTCTTTGTAACGAATCTATTAATACTAGTGATAACTATGATAACGACGAAACATTTTATACGATATGTACATACATTCCTCGTCAATTCTATTATGAAATATATATAGATTAGTGTTTAAATCGGTTATTATTTAAA